TTTTCCTTTTAAATATATTTTATTTTATGAAACACGAGCAGGGAAAAAAAAAGAAATTCAAATAATTTTATTTCGCGCATTCCAATCTCAACTGAAATTCTCATGTCAACTGTGACATATATATATATGAATGCTTCGTACTAAAATGTTGTCTGTAAACGTATATACTGAGCCATGAACAAAAATATTGCTCATGACTCAAGATTTATGAAGCAGTTGGTTAAATCATAAAAATGTGCTATACTGTTTTCAAGGTAAACTAACTCATCAATCATTTTACTTATTTTATTCAAAAATATTGCGACGTTTTCTATCTTGTTCAAAATGTCATTATCAGCAGCACTAGTTTTACATGAAAGTGAATTCCACATCTACATACAACAATTGTATTTGTATTTTTTTTTCGTTCTGTTACGAACATCGAAGAGGAAACGAATTTCTCCCCTTCGTAATGCCATGTGCAGAAGAGAAAAAAAAATAAAAATTGTTCTATATATTATATGTAATTTTCTTTCGTCTAAATGTAGTGTTGATAATGACCTTTAGAACGCGGTCGACAGCTTCACAATATTTTTGAATAAAATAAACAAAATGATTGATGAATTAGTTTATTCATTTATATTCCATCAGCCGATATAGATATACTTTGTTCATTGAATTTTAATGGACAAGTTAACAAATATATAAGAAAATATATATAAAAGAAACCGAACCGGTCCCATCACTGGTTGGGATGCTACACATTCTGACTGTTGTTGGCCAATATTTAAGTGGCAGGTGTGCAACTAAAAAGCTATGCTCGAATTCTTATGTGCTCGCCAACAAAACCGAGATAAGAATGGAGATAATAGTAAAGAGAAATAGAGTCACTGATTCATTGGCTGTTCTTGTGCTACGGATTGAAGTTAGAAAACTATTGAGTCTTTGAGTAAATTTTCTGTGTTTGACTCAGTGCTGTATGTCTTCCTATTTAAATAGTAAAAAAACAGATTCTAATTAAATTGTCTTAATTTAATACGGACATGGAAACATTAACATCGAAGCATTCGTCTAGTTTTACAGCTGAAATGGGTTTGAAATTAACTCACAACATCCTTCGAGTAAAAGATCCAAGTGAACTCATTCAGTTTTATCAGAATAATTTTGGAATGAAACATATTGATATATCTACATCGTCGCTTCCGTACAATGTTAATATAGTGGGATATACAAAAAATTATGACGCAAATTTTAACGAAACTTCGAATATATTGCATTACCCAACATTACTCGAATTTCACCACGATGACTCACCAACGGCTACTTCATCTTTTGTTAATAGTGGCGCTTCACAAGTTTATTGGAAGCTTGGTATAACGCTACATGATGTTGATTATGCACGAAAATTTTTACAATCTAAACAAGTACATGTTGGCGACGCTTTACAATTTGAAGATATCGGTTATGTATGTCACTTGAAAGATCCCAACGATTTTTGTATTGAACTATTACAACATGATTTCGAACAGAAATTCAAAGCTAAAACGAACACAAGTGATAAAAAACTACCTAAAGATAAATTTCCATTGGGATATCCTTGTTGTATTGGTCAAATAACCTTACAGGCGAATGACATAGATAAAACTCAAAGATTCTACCGAGATCTATTGGGAATGAAATTACTATCGATACAAGAAGTACCAAAATTTGGTTTCACGCTATATTTTTTTGCCTGGACACATGAAAACCCACCTCAATCCGACATCAAAGATGCTACTATTAATCGTGAATGGTTATGGAAACGTCCCTATACAACCATTGAAATAAGACATTTTCATAGTTCAAGACAAATTCCACCTTTCAGAGATTTAAAACAGAATGAAATTGGTTTTGAAGGTATAAGAATTATGTGTAATGATCTGAACATGTTCATAGGCAAAATGAAAGCGAATAGTATCCCCTTTGGAGAATCCAACGGAACCTATGGCAAAGAAATTGTAATTCGTGATCCTGACAACGTACCAATCTATGTTTCGCAAAATAAAAGCGAGCGATAGGTTTTTTGATCGTATTGAAATGAGATATTGCAAAGTTCTACAATGTCGAGAGAGGATGAATACTGATATACTTTCTTTTACCGATCTAACGTTTAATTCTCTCTCGATATATATTTATTCATTTCTAATCATTGTATCCCTTCTGTTTGAACTACCTCCCTTGTAGAAATTTCTCCTAGATGGTTTATTTAATCACATTTATTTATTATTGTAATGCTTTAAATTCATGTTAGATTGATTCAATTACTGGAACGGAAAAGTTAAGAGCAGCCAATTGCTTTGTATTAGCGAAATATAAGTCGAATCGTATGTGAAAAATCACGTCGAATAAGAAATACCAAACCAATTTATATTCCATAAGCATGTTTGAGCATTATTTAACATATCTGTATTACTCCAAACAATTAGAGGACGTGCATAAATTGTAAATGAAATATTTGTTGGAAAATAAATAGCAGTGTAGCCCGCTAACAACCAATGAGAGCTAGTGCCAGATATACTAACGAAATAGCTTGGAGTTGATGGAAAACTGCAATTACTGGTATCAATGTTCATCGTTATTCCGCTAGTAGAATATAATTGCCAGTTAGTATATGATGAGATGCCTGCACAATAATATGCTTCTGCAGTTGTTACGTTGGTATTGTTTGAATTCGCTTGGGTTTGATCTTAAAAAAAGATTATTATTGGTGAGACACACGTAATTGATGGGTAAAAAATCCTTTGTTTCCTTAAAATTTATCTTCGAGAGGACATTATAAAAAAATCCCACATGCTTCTGAGATTAACTCATAAAGATTTCAGTTAGGATTTCTTTACTTTTAGTCGTAATGCTTTCAGAATGTGACGATCAAAAACTAACAAACTCACCTGTTGTTGCTGCTGTTTGGCTTGAATCGTTTGTATAGGCTGAAATAGAAGTTTATTTGTTTTTAATAAATCAGTTATAGGAAGTGTCTGATGAAGGAGATTGATTATGTGTATAGCACATCTACTAAGATTGTTCGTAGGTTTCTATTTACAATCTATGTTCACCACCGAGTACAAATAGTCACTATAGAACGTTTTGAAAATTCCTTTCCCAGAATAAAGTAAATGGAGAATATTCTATCAAGACTAAGATTATGAGAAAGTATTTGTCAGCACTCACATTGCAGTTTAATGTATACAGCAAACACTATAGCTATTGTAATACTAACTGCCAATATGCATAGAATATAAATTACCAGATATAAATCAGATTTTGAACGTTGGGAAGTCATTTTTTTTCGTTTTTCTTCCATGTTGAACTATTTTTATTTGTGGTTATAGATGTCGTAGCTTAGTTTTGATGCAAGGACATACGTGAGATACTTTGCATAGATTTCTTTATCTATCTGAAAATATAAATTCAATAAGGAAAATAGATAAAGAACATAGCATAAAAGGATGGGCGTGCGAAAAAAGACCTATAGACACACTCACACTCTCAAATTAATGCAAATAGTTCACCCCTATTTATAGCAAAACTCTTTTCAAAAATTTGCTCAACAATTATTGTTCAGTTCTTCTACTGTTTCAAGTAAAGCAAATTAGTACGCATAATCGTTTCTAATAAGTAATACCAAGCCAATTTACATTCCATTGGTTTGTATAGGAGGAATTAAGCATTAATACATTGTTCGATTGGTTTGAGGAAGTCATATAAATTCTAAATGATACCTTCGTAGCTGCATATATAGCAGCATAACCCGCTAAAAACCATTGTTCATCATTTCCACCCATGCTAGTGAAATAGAGCGGGGTTGAATTAAAGCTACATGTAGTTGTATCGATGTTCATGTATAATCCATTAGAAGAATAAAGGTTCCAGCGTGTGAAATTAGATAGACCCCCACAATAATATATTTTACTACTTGTTACCGTTGTGTTCGTGATATTTCCTTGAGTTTGAGCTAAAGAAAAAAAGAATTCTTAAACAGCAACTTTGAAATACATCGTTGACAGATGGAAAATTCGCAATTGATAAAAATACTGCTAAATTTATTTTCATGTAGAAAGTTTCCCGACCGAAGGATTCTCTATAAATGTTGAGTAAAAGAAAAATACTCACTTGTCGTGGTTATTGTCGAAGTACTTGTTGTTGAGTCTTTTATAAAAGCTAAAAAAATAAGAAAAAACAATACGCAATAGGAGTGGATGTGGGTGTGATATCTGCTCATGGCTGAAGATTTCGTCTTCATCTATATCCATACTTTTTTGTTCGTTCTATCAATGCTTTCTTTTATGATGTGAAGCATAACATATTCTACAAGTGAAATTTCACCGATTATAATGATGACTAACTCAATTTAACTGCGAATTCATATTTCAAAATAAAAAAACGACATTCTCTTAATGCCGTCCGTCGGACTAGCACAAGTCTATTTTGGCAAAATAGGTGAAACATGCTCCAGCATAGGTTTGACTTTCAAGTTCGAGAAGTAACTTTTTATACTCTAATTTAAATTATACTAACTGTCGCGAGAGACGCTGAGTGGTGTAAGCGGGCTGAGAGTTTCTGAAATCAGTGGTTATAGTAAGAAAAATTTCAGTACGTTATCTCAAACTAGATCATAATGCAAATTTATACATCGTCAGTTTTCAGGCTCTATGGAAATCCTCACAACTTCGCTTCTCAATGTGATGCATAAATCACTGTGGTTTCTGATTGAAGCTCTCATGAATTTCCAGGCTTTTATCAGATAGAATTTCGAAATTTACCTCTGCTCATTTTCCTTCACATCATATTATATGATCAAGTACTAACATAAAGAACATGACAATATCTTCAAAAAGTGAAAAAATGCGATGTTATAGTCAAAATGTCTTATGACATCAGTTATTCTGCAAAAGTTCAAGATCGTAAGGAATGCGGACGTTTCATAAATCGTACTTTTAATCGAACTCGAAATTAGTATTCAGTTGTACTATATTGATTTCACACGAATACAAAACAGGACTACTCGTAACGCATTCCTGCATTTGGAACCTCAGAATATATTTCACTAGCATGAAAATTCGGTCAGTAAGAAAGCGTCTAATTTTATCAAAGGTATACAAGAAATTTGAGGTGATTGATTTCGAAAAGCATCTTCAAAGTAGGAAGGAAATAAAAGCATAAAACTAATCAATTGTTACATAAAAATTTGTAATAGAATTCGTTTCTTATATTTTGAAGACGTACTCATCATGGCAATAGCTGCTACCAATCCTCCAAGTAAGATGGTACAAAAACTCGCTGCTAACCAAAGAGAAAATCGTTGCGCCATAGTTGACATAAGTCGTCTACACATAATCATTCGTCAATATTGATCTTAAAGAAATTTAGGTTCAATAGAGAGTTTACCTTCGGTATACTGTGTTCATATTTTCGTTCTGGCTTCCATCTCGCAGTGAACCCGACTAAACATGACAAAACAAACATACACTATTCCATTAAATTAAGTTAATCTACTTTCCTGTAATAGTACAGCTGAACTACTGGTAGCGTTTGCTTCCATGTTACCTCTTGACGTTGGGAATCGCGAGACATTTTGCTGTAAAATTCAATAAATCAAAATGTAAGAAAAAAACTCTTCGCGATGGAAATCCATGATTTCCATTTAAACTTGCTATCCTCTATCCTGACATACGGTCTTCTCTATCGTACGATTGTCATACGAGTAAACTCCTTTTATCGATCTTTTGGTGTCAAATGAAATGTTTTTTTTTGACGAAACGGATGACTTTTATATGGTTCATACATACCATTCCGTGTAACGAGGATATGGGTGTGTGCTGTAGGTTGCTTGAAGAACTCATTATGCTTTTGCTGTGCTTTCCTGATGGATTCAGTGTTTGCATACGAATAGATGAATCAGTTATTTTCTTATATGTGTCCGACTGATGCGCCTTGTTCATTTGATTTCTCGAAGGCTGAATCCTGACTTTGATTGTCATCATTGGTCTACTTCTTTTCTTCTTCTTCTGAACCAAGTGGATGTCACTATTTTCTGTACGGGAAGACATTAAGTTGCGCTAGTATGAAGAAATGATCTATATGTATATAATTGTTTAAAACAAAACTGGATATCCACCCGGATCACGTCTTTACAGAGGTAAAATCACTATCGGATTGCGCGTTCTTGGCGTTACGAGAAATCGACTTTGCTCTGAAAAAAAAGGCATGAGTGTTGCATACGCATTTTATATAATTCGATTTCGCCAATACAATGCGAACATCAGCAAGAGTAAATACTAGATTATTGCATCTGATTACTTGAAAAAAAATCAATTTAAAATATTTTTTACGCTGTAATGAGATGAAAAGAAGACCTAACGAAATCATTAAAAAGAGAATACAATATTTGTTATGTATGTTGTTAAAATCGAAAATAAATCATGCATCAGCTACTTATTTGCGTAGTCACGGATTGAAAAATAAAACTACTTTCAAAGGCTATAAACTTGATTTTAAGTCAAAATCGTGGAACTAAATGGATCAGCATATCTTTTTTCACTCTTATCGTAGAGATCAGACGAAAGAATTAATTAATGTGCTACATGTAAACTTTTTATTACGTCGTATTTTATAGGAAAAAAGCAGCTATACCATTCGGTAAGAGAAAGTATCATTAGCGGATTGATATCAAATTGTTTCACGGTAGACACTTTTTTATTGAAGCATTGCTTTCGTATGCGGATGCAGTAGAATTTTTAAGAACGAAAAGCATGACGCATTGTTCGGATTAGTTTTTCTTTGAGAAATCTGGATTATCTATCGACAGGGCAAGTTCTCGAAGCTTTTTAATTTAAAACTGATTATAGTAACAAATTAGGATCTGTAATAGTTGCATTCAGGAAACGTTATTGCCAACATCGATAGTTTGTTATTATCTAAGGCAAATAGTTTTATTTCTAATCATACTATTTTAGAATGTTACTGTGCTGAGAACTTACGATTTTTATATATTGTTGAGTTGTATATTGCCACCAGTATTCCCACATAAACGAATAAAATTTGGTTCTTACAATTGAGATCTGAAAAAAACAAGTAAAGAGGCAGACACCGAACGACTGAAAAATATCAATGTAGTTTGCATGTTGACCGATACGGCTTCACACGCGCATAGAAATATTTTGCGTAAATTCGCTATTGTGCACTATACGGCAAGGACAGTTATTATTTATTATTTTTACCATGACATGAACTGAATTCAAATTCCAGTATTGTGAATAGCCAAAAGAATCATTTTGAAGCAAAAACTAATTTACAGCGAATAAGCAGAAAATGTCTATCCTCAATTCTATATCATTTTTGGAAAGTCATACTATCAGAGAAATAGAATTTTATCATTGGCAAAAGGTCTAGGGATTGTCCATATTACCTGTTTTATATCCGTGAATTACAGAATTATTTGCCGCTGACAATTGTCAATGTGCTTTAACTCGAGCTCATAAAACTTCTAGGTTTTAGTCGCTATTTGATATGTCACATTTTCTAAACTTCTTTTTTTCTCTCATGTCGCACCCAATTCCGAGATTGAACGAACCCGCACTATTTATTTTCGTTAGTGAAAGAACACCTGAAAATTCTCGATCTGCCAATTCAAAATAAACCAAAATTCACTACCAGCTGATTTTCGATTCAAATAATGTTTAAATGAACTCATGGAAAATGAATTCAGTATGCATTGATTCAATAAATGAGTAGTTGGTTCGTGTCCTGAGAAAATGAATAACACAGTTCAGGAGTAAGTTACTTTCACGATTGAGCATGTCTTGCACGAAATCGCTGTTCTCTACACAATTAGAAAATTGCACATATAAATAGATTTAACTTTTATTTCTTATACTCGATTTTCCTGTTCATTCTTTTCTTTAGGCAGCCAAATAAACAATCTGCGAGTCTAGATAATAATTCATTGGAGAAAATGTAATCAATGCTAAACAATATTTTAAGTAAGATCAAAAATCGGTCGACATTTCGACTCGTGCAAGATGTATTTATTAATGTCCGATAGTTCATCAGTGGTCATTTCTGATGGCAGAAATATATCAACAGTGTACGGATCATTGTTCCAATTGACTCGGTAGACACGTTTGCAGAACCACACACGAAGCATCATGTCAATACCGTTGGGTGCTCTAATAAATTCACTGCGCACAGCAATTTGATTCGTATAGCTCATGGTAGCTAATTGATCGATAAGCAAGCCAGATAGACCCACAAGAACGTAACCATATCCACGAGCAATTAGTTTTTTAGCTACTCCATGTCGAACATTTAGGCACTCAGGACCATCATTACGGATATGTATAACGTATCTTGACCATTGCTCTCCTTCAAGACGGATCACATGACGGATCCCATCGTTCGCTATGTCCTCTGCTCTTTCTATAAAGTTATGCCAGTACATGAATATCATGCAGTAGGAGGGAGGGCATGGAAGCAGAGGTAAACCAAGAATCATATATAGTAATAATCGTCGGTTACAGTATTTTCTGATACCATCAAGAATATCGCGAACGATCTTTTCATTGGCAGGCAATGTTGCGCCTTCGACTGCTACCGCGCAACTGGGTCCAAAGTGTTGTTGAATATCGCCTATAGTACGAATGTATGGGGGTGGTGGTGGTGACGATGATGCTGATTCTGCTTCCGATGAAGAGTGTCTGTCTTCCAATTCTATGTTGACATGAACTGCAGATGTTGTTCCCTGATTGATATTGTCATTCGTGGCCATTTTTGTGTTGTTTAAATGTGAGCAAATGATTTCACTCTTTCTCAACTTTTAAAATGCACTATTTAACTAGAAGACTATGACATAAATAATCAGCGTATGTCAACAATGATAACAACATTTGAGCAAAAGAAAGAAAAATATAATGTAGTTGCTCCTATAGCTTCTATGATGACTCACAATACACAAAATACAATGAGATATTTGTGTGTACGACCACTAGTCGACGATTTTGAGTTCGATCTGTCCAGGTTCTTGTTTTTCTTGCTTGTCAGACAAGATTCTTTTTCTTCTTAAAAATCAAGTAAGAATCATTTCTTGAGTTAGCAGCAAGAATTTCATTTAGTTTGTCTTTCCTGCCAAGAACCTTGCTACCGTCTTGGACAAGAATCTAGAAAGAACGATGTGAAGATCGTCGACTAGTAACAGGCGAAAGAAGCTTGGAATACGAGAGTAGTGTGTTGAACTTGCACTATCAGGATACGAATACACAAAGATGTTTTGGGAGATAGTGAATTCGTTTTTGCAACCTAGACTGCGGATTTCGTGGAATATGGGAGTGACAGAAACTTTAGAATAGGAAGTAAAAAGAACACTCCTAAGTAATAGTTACACCAAAACAGTTACATTTTGACTTTGGTCAACACAATGCGTGCTGGGCAAATACTTTAAGAAGGACGTCCTTTCCACGTTACCTTCATCAACCTCTAACGTTTCGGCTTTTGTGAATCATAGTTAACTCGTTTGCAGTAACAATTGTGTTCGAGTGTCGCTCGCTTTTATGATAATGATAGATATTTTCATGATCAATATTGATAAGGAACAGTGACGGAAGCATCGCCTTGAAATGAATTCTTTTTACCGAATTTGAAACTTCTCGATGAATTTCACTAATATATCTTCGAGACTTTTGTAAGTCATAGCAAATTTGATAATATATCAGCACGAACACTGATAGTTTTACTCTGTAACTGCGGGACCAACTCTATTCCTTTACTAAGTACAGCAAGAGGTTTCCTACGAGACCATATGTCGCGTGATCATGTTTATGTGTAGTTTTTTGTTTTGACAATATTATTAATCTAAAAGCTTGTTACGGTCTCTGATGGATTTTCCTGGCTTTCCATAAAACTATGGATAACTGTTTCAAGCACTGTTATATTAAGTGTATCTGTAAAAAGAATATTTTGTTTTTAAACATTAGTACAAAACCTTGACAAAGACTATATTACTAACCGTTGACCTAACGAGAAGAGAGTTATGCAGACGTGAGCAGCAATTATTTGCAGAATAGTCGTAACTGAGAAACCAAACTGGTTCGAAGCAAAGATTACGATACGAACATCACTCATGCATTCCACTTAGCACATCGAGGAAATACAAAATATCGAATGATTAAAAACATTTTGAAATGCTCTACGAATCAGTGCTTTGATTTGCTCATAATAAGAGTTAAAATCAGAAAAAAATTAGGTCATTGGAGAAGCGGTGAACAGAAACAGCATTTATCCGATATTTTACGTTAAGAGTGCTCTATCAGTCAAAGATGAAAATTGATGAAGATAAAGAACTCGATATACAATTGATGTATCGAGCGAAATAAGTTTCCTATTTAACTATTTCAATGAGCATTACTTTATTCATAGATCTTCTATTGATATTCATATTAAACAAAATTTTACCAATCTATTGTCGTTAAAATAATTTTTTTCTATATCTTAATCCACTTGATTCTAGATGAGCATGCTATTATAAATAGATAACTAATCAAATAGAAAAATATGTATTGAAATTACTTATTTTTACGGTGAATTTTTTCATGCTTTCATTTTATTGCTCATATCATTATGCAAACATTACTTTTCAAGGCATAGTTCGTGAGTGGAAAAAAATAACATTGTTTTTTGCTACAAATATACTTTCCCACTCGCAGATGGATATATTTTTATCGAAGAAAATTGAAGCTCTTTATTAAAGGCTTGTGTTATGTTTGAATGAGCGAATGAATGATTAGTTCAGCAGTGAGTTTGTTCAACGATGGAACTAGATATGCACTAAATCACTGTTCATGAGCTTCAGAATGATACCTCTAGACAATTAGAAAATTGCACATATAAATAGATTTAACTTTTATTTCTTATACTCGATTTTCCTGTTCATTCTTTTCTTTAGGCAGCCAAATAAACAATCTGCGAGTCTAGATAATAATTTATTGGAGAAAATGTAATCAATGCTAAACAATATTTTAAGTAAGATCAAAAATCGGTCGACATTTCGACTCGTGCAAGATGTATTTATTAATGTCCGATAGTTCATCAGTGGTCATTTCTGATGGCAGAAATATATCAACAGTGTACGGATCATTGTTCCAATTGACTCGGTAGACACGTTTGCAGAACCACACACGAAGCATCATGTCAATACCGTTGGGTGCTCTAATAAATTCACTGCGCACAGCAATTTGATTCGTATAGCTCATGGTAGCTAATTGATCGATAAGCAAGCCAGATAGACCCACAAGAACGTAACCATATCCACGAGCAATTAGTTTTTTAGCTACTCCATGTCGAACATTTAGGCACTCAGGACCATCATTACGGATATGTATAACGTATCTTGACCATTGCTCTCCTTCAAGACGGATCACATGACGGATCCCATCGTTCGCTATGTCCTCTGCTCTTTCTATAAAGTTATGCCAGTACATGAATATCATGCAGTAGGAGGGAGGGCATGGAAGCAGAGGTAAACCAAGAATCATATATAGTAATAATCGTCGGTTACAGTATTTTCTGATACCATCAAGAATATCGCGAACGATCTTTTCATTGGCAGGCAATGTTGCGCCTTCGACTGCTACCGCGCAACTGGGTCCAAAGTGTTGTTGAATATCGCCTATAGTACGAATGTATGGGGGTGGTGGTGGTGACGATGATGCTGATTCTGCTTCCGATGAAGAGTGTCTGTCTTCCAATTCTATGTTGACATGAACTGCAGATGTTGTTCCCTGATTGATATTGTCATTCGTGGCCATTTTTGTGGTGTTTAAATGTGCGCAAATGATTTCACTCTTCCTCAAATTTTAAAATGCATTATTTAACTAGAAGACTATGACATAAATAATCAGCGCATGTCAACAATGNTGGTGGTGACGATGATGCTGATTCTGCTTCCGATGAAGAGTGTCTGTCTTCCAATTCTATGTTGACATGAACTGCAGATGTTGTTCCCTGATTGATATTGTCATTCGTGGCCATTTTTGTGGTGTTTAAATGTGCGCAAATGATTTCACTCTTCCTCAAATTTTAAAATGCATTATTTAACTAGAAGACTATGACATAAATAATCAGCGCATGTCAACAATGATAACAATATTTGAGCAAAAGAAAGAAAAATATAATGTAGTTGCTCCTATAGCTTCTATGATGACTCACAATACACAAAATACAATGAGACATTTGTGTACAACAAGAGGAAAAAGTTTGGAATACTAGATTTGTGTACTGAAGTTGCACTGTGAAGGCGTGAATACGAAGAGTGTTTTCGTAGACATTGAACTTATTTTTCGTACCATAGGCTGCAGATTTCTTGGAATATGACAGGGACAGAAACTTTAGAAGAAGAAAAAAAGAACACCCTCAAGAGAAATACTTTGGCCAAAATAATGTATGGATGACAAATATTTTAAGAAGGAGATCCTTTCATGTTACCTTCAGCTGCCTTTAACATTTGCGCTCTTGTGCATCATAATTAAGTTGTTTCCGGATACAATTATGTTCGATCAATGGACCTACTCGAAATGAATTTTCTTTTAGCTGCAAAGAGTGATTATAGGTTCAATGCAACAAAAACCGTTTTGTAATTATTAAACGAAGCTTTCCTCGAGTTCCGTTAATGCATCTTCAGAACTTTAGTGAATAATGGAAGGTTTCACAGTATGTCAACATGAACACTAAGAGTTGTTTTCTGCAACTGAAAGGCAGCCAGTTCGATATTGCACAGCTACACGTTTCCTACGAGACTATATGGTTTTTTATCATTTTTTCTGAAATTATATTATTAACGTAAATGTGCTGAATGGATTCTGGTAGTTTTCAGGTCTCCTCTGTAACCATGGATTATTGCTCAAAGTTGTGTTGGATTCCTTGCATTTCCTATCTGATTTTCCATGATTGTAAATACTATAATTTTTCATTTCTATTCTTTAATGCTGAATGTTTCGAGAGTAGCTCCAATTTATATCATTAAAAAGATATTTCTTTGAGCAGCTATACAAAAACTGACATTAGACATTCAAAGAGTGAAACACAAGTCATACGGAGATGACAAAGCATTTATTTCAAGAATAGCCATAACTGAGAAATCTAACCATTACGAAACAAGGATAAAGATACGACGAACACTTAGCACATCGAGCAAACAAAGTAGAAGATATCAAATATTTAGAAAATTCTTGAAATACATTTTGTGCATTCTAAATCAGTAGTTTAATTTGTTTATAATACGAGTTAAAATTAGAGAAAAAAAACATGAGATCGCTGTAGAAGTTGCTGAAAGGAAGATCATTTATTCGATGTTTCACGTTAAGATTGCTCTATCAGTCTAAGATGAAAAGCTATGAAGATAAATAATTCGATATTTAATTGATGTACCGAGTGAAATAAGTTTCCTATCAAACTCTTTCAATATGCATAACGTTTATTCATAGATCTTGAGTTGATATTAATATTTAAACAATGTGATGAAGCTATTGCGATTTTTTTTCGTATTTTAATGCACTTGATTCTATATGAACATCCTATTTTAGATAGATAACTACTTGAATATATGTTTCAATTTTAACGTTTATAAATAATTTATTCAATCCTAAATTTGAATAAGCGACTTTCCTTTGTCGGTTTAATTAATTAGACCTCTAGTGCAACTTGTTGTTAGAGGTTTACCCTTAGCTGAGATCAGTAGAACGAGAAAATTGTTTTTCAATAAAAAAACACATCTATTCAAAATAATAGTTCATTGGAATTTTTTCGAATAAATTACTATTTGGCGGAAAAGTATTCGAGTTGTCGAATTCTCCTCTAGGTTTAACGCTTGCGTTTCGAGTAAAACAATAATTGATTCTATGGTGGAATAACCAACCCAATAATATTACTTCAATCATCAGAATGTCTCAAACTCATTATTTTTTGTACACTTCTTCGCTCGCCAACTGTTTTTTTAAAGATCGTTCTATTTTCTTTACACCCACACTCGAATATGAGGCATATGTCATCGGTGAGAAAGCTATCAGTCAAAATATTCGTACTGTTATCTCTGAATAATAGGTATAAATTGAATCTAAATAACCACATGTTTATGTTTCTCTCAGGCATTAGCAATTAAATGTGTAATGTTGTTTTCTTGAAAAAAATATGCATTATTTGTTTTTCTTTTTACTTCAATGCATTAAAATTACGACATTTAAATCGAGGGTAAAACTAAAGTAGCTGATCCCTACAACGTTTTATTTTCCGCTGAATCCATGGACACATGCGAACAATGAATCTCAACAAAAATCTGTTACCATTAAAAATATTTCTATTTTGGGTGTGTCAGTGGCTAGTAGTTGGACACAAAATACACCCACACCCACGCCCTCAAGAGACCGGTTGCAAAGAATAGAATGAAACAAACTGTTAGGTCTACAAAAAAATGGTTAAAATTAAGAATCCATACACTAATCAGTGTGTTAGTCATAGATAATGTTGCACTTATGTTGATCACGACATTTTGTTTTAAGAGTATTAAGATCTGTACCTAACAGACAACATTTTTTGTAATTGCATAAGTGTGAACTATACCACCACTGTGACTCAGGCAATAAGCCAGGATGATCATCGGTAACACGCATCATTATCCCAGTACACACAATAGAAGCTTCTGTGTCATTGAAATCAACAATATTTTTATTTTTATTATCGATAACCCATTCAATAATTTCATTTCCAATATTAAAATCAATGATTGTATCACTGACACGTAAGGTTTCCTTAGCTATTTTCATGATATTGCTCGGATGCACACGACACTCTAACACAAATTGTACGTATTTACCCGATTTGAAAAATTTACTTTGAGGCGACGAATTAATTCGCTTAACTTCAGCATATCTTGGGTGGGACGTGTATGTTATCGATGGGGAAACATATATGCCGACACCATGTACAGCTTTATTTGCTGGTTTTAATCCACTCAACAAAATAGATAAACCGCAGGCAAACTTTGTACCATGATAACAGATGCACCATCCTTTAAATTTTTCATAGAAGTTATCAGTAACATAAAAAGCACATCTTTTCCATCCAACAGGACAATAATAGGGTTGATTACCACGATCTCTGCGGTCGTTAAGAGCGCCGTGCCAATAAGTATGACCACGAGCATATATACGATTATATTGAGGATTTATTTTAATATCAGCACGATATTTTTGCTGCTTAGACAAGGTTTTTGAAGAACCAAGAAACATGAAGAAAATCTTCATTTTGCCAAATTCTTCGCGGAATTTATCCGTAAGTAATTGACATATCATTTTTATGGATATCTTTTTATCACTCGATTCGGAATCAGGGAATATTTCTGCGTCACACACGACTGAGCCTACTTGTATTTGTTTGATAATGATATCTTTTGGCAGTACATTGATTTTATCACAAAATTTAGTAAGAAATTGTTGTAAATCAAAGTGATTATGATCTTCATCAATACAGATCTTTAGTGATGATGTCGGTAATTCAATACGCTCGTCAAAAACTTCTGGTGCCACTGATATTATTGGTTGTCCCGTTAGATTATAGCATTCTTTACATTCTTGATAGTAGGCATATTCTATCGGCGACAATGGTTGCTCTGATATAAAGTCTTTTGTACATAGATCAGCTTCTACTTCTAAAACAAAATGAAAGAAATATGAGCAGAATTATCCTATAGACATCATTCGTTTTGTCTTCAATATGATGACAGTACTAAAAAATTCCTCGAAATCAAATTTACATAATGGTCAAAAAACATCTTTTTTCTTGAAAGTATGAAATAAAACAGGAGCGGATGGAAGGAAATTTTCCTACGGAATCTATGTAAGAATGCAAAAATTTATGATCAAGAGATTCTATAAGGATTGGCCTAGGTATTTTCCTACGTTAAAAACAATTCTCTGCTATTTTGAATTTATACTAACCTAAAGTTTGACTTAAAATTCGAAAAAGAACACGCAAAAGGAATTTTCTTACTCGAAATAAACAGCTAATCGAGCAGAGTCCTACTGTGATTTCCAGTACAACATGTCAGTAAGAATAATTAGCGTTACATTTGAATACCACTACTTCCCGTTCTCTTGCACTGTCGTTATAAGGTAGTATTACTTCCCTACTCGCTGCTATCATTTAGTTTATATAACTCTTGTGTTTGTAAAAATGCAAAGAACATTTTTCAAAGAATGACTTCAGTAAAGAACGTGAGTATATTGTTTGGGAGAAGATCGATAAAAACACTAGGGCTATATGAGATTAAATTTTTTTACTGAATTGTTTCGTCTCATTTCCGTGGGAATTGCGAACAATGTCAAAGCATGTTGCTTTTGCATGATATTGCCGGAAATCCATCAGTAAACCTTGTTGTAGGTACTTTTGCAGGCGTAAGGCTCCGGTGTATATTTCGTATTCTGTTTTATTAGGGTACACGATGGTTTTGGTCAAGAGAACTACTTCTGACAAACATGATAGAATTTTCAGACGAAGCATGATGGTTACTATGTACAGGTAGATCTAGGGCCAGGAGTGTAAATATGGGGGGGNAAAAGTTTCATTTTTTAGGACATGAAAACAGAAAAAATAGAGTTACGCCCCCCTGCTCTGAGACCTGACTTACGCCCCTGTCTAGGGGTATGGGTCATTTTCATAATTTTTTCAATTACCTAGATTTTCTTCTTCTATGTCTTGATTGCTAATCAGTAGATCAAATATAAGATTCGCTTGAGATTGTATTCGACTCTCTCTAGTTGTCCCAATGATGGATAATTTTTCAAATATTTCAGTAACACCATTTAAATTTTGAATATGCCGTAGAATATTTAAATTCTCTGAAACTCTATGAATCAGTTTCAATGCTAAGAAAATTAATTCGACCTTTTGCTGTTTTCGTTGCGCGTTCGTATCGTCAATTAGTAGCTTAGCTTCTTTAACTATCAATATCATAGCATCGACTAGTGGTAACGATTCGATGAATAGATCGCTTGGTACGATATCAAGAACGTTAAGCAGATTTATAAAGGCTTGCAGTAACGCATTTTGGCAACGCTTTAATTTTGGTGATTGAAATTTTTCGAACAGCTTTTGGCCATAGGTTAGTACAGTTTTTGATAGTACGTTTATTTTATGCTTCTGCGATTGAGTATCGTATTCATAAATATATGTTGGGCAGGCAGAAAGAAATAGATCCTGTTCCTTATAGAATAGTGTTGCATTCATATCCATATCATTAAACACTTCCAGATAATAATGCGAGCATAAGCAGGTAATGGCCGCATCCAATAGAAGTAAAAGAAGCGGGTGGCCATTATTATCAGTTCTCTTTCGATATTTTCCGAATGCCTCCAATAAACATTTAATACTAAATACAATGTCATAGTTGGCTAAGTGTTTACCCTTAGAGGCGATTGCATTAAGGCATTGCCCAATCGGTTTAATAAGTGATTCTGTTACGAACAAATTTTGAAAAATTTCAATGCTCGTAGTATGCTCAATAATTTCAAGTATCATAAATGATGCTTCATTCAAAAATTGTGTTTGGAAATCTAATATCTTTGATGACGGTTCGTTCAACATTTCTATAATATTGATCACTGTATCGCGAATGTACAGAAAAAAATGATGATTCATTATGACTGACGCATTTTCGGCGATACCATATTCATCTGGACATTCACGCATATCTTTCAGCAAAACAATTAATCTTTTTAGTACATTGCTTGATGTAATAACTCGACTTTCTGAATGTATTACATCTATCCCTCGTAAAGCGGAATCAAATTTCACTAATACCGTTCGAATTTTGGTTGTATTATTCTCTTGCGAATCCATAGTTGTTTTGTTAAATGCTTAATTAGAATTTCCCAATTCAATTTGATTTTCGATTAGTCTTCTGAACTTGTAATCTTTCTAAAATACGGAACATTTATCACAATACTGGCAGCATGAAACCAGCATGTAAACGGTCTTTCCCTTTTTTTCTTTATAATGTTCCTTGTCAAAATGCGTATCAGAGCTTGAAACTGGAATATTTTTTTATACTTGATCCTGTCTCATGCTAACCTAAATTTTCTCCTTGCTGTCTTCCCAAGGATTGTCTCTACAGCCTTACATATACATGTATCGAAAGCCACACCCACGCGTTTGCGGTTGGGTACGAATATGACTTTCTATGTAGGTATTAGTATGAGGTATATATGAATGAAACTGTTGGTGAACAGATATTTCTGCTGATTAGTCCTGATGAAATCATCACACGCATTACAAATAGAATAAGTATCTAGAAGAAGGTCTAGTTGAGTATTATTTAGATAGTCGATTTCTGCGTGACTACTTGTCAAATCACGCATCACAACTAAGAAGCCCTCAATAAGTCAATGGAACTCTAGTAGCTTTAGTAGCTGAGCGCGTTACGATTTTCGCAACTCCGACATGCGACAATTGGAAAAATGAAGAACAAATAATGATTCATTTGCACACGTCACAGGTAGGAAAAGAGAGACTCGCTCGTTCGTTTGCTTTCTTCGTTACTGGTAAACAATTGCATCTCGGTTCGAATTTTAATTTTGTTTTTCTTAAAAATAATTGAGAATCTCTGCAGGAAAAGTAAACATAAGTAGTAAAAGGCGCTATCCAACTGCATAGAAACTCAGGGTATGGATTTGTTCATCAAGCAAATGCCGACGTGTTTCAATCTTGTATAAAGATCTCATCAGACGATCTTGGTTTTCTAACTACTCTAAATGATTTAAAGATGGCAAATGAGTTTTATAGTCAACGTAGTATGAGCATGTCAAGGTTAAATTATTAAATTCAAAACAAGATGCGACCAATTTTGAGCAGCTTATATGGTTAACAGCTTTGACTTTTCTTTTAGAACTCATCGGCTTTTCATTGAGTACAAATGAGTTGTTATTCGTAGTGATAAATAGTAGTTTGTATTCAAGAGAAAATGAAACAGTGTGACTGTTGTTGTAAACCTCTATGAAAATGGTGATACTTTCAATCTATAGGATTTTCGATTTATAGTAGAATTTTTCGAGAAAAAATACCTACATTACACTAAATGACGGGAGCTTAGAGGCCTACGAAAATTTCCTTCCTCGTCAGCCTAGACCGGGCCCATGCTCTACCCCAATCAACGCACATAGTAGACTATATCAAGAATTCATAAACAATCGAACCAACCCAAATCTAACATCAATGTATTCGTATGCAACGTGATGTTACGTGAAATCTGCATTCATATTCAAACTCGAAATAGACAACTAATCCATCTCCAACTATGATTCCATAGGATAAAATAAGTTTTATTTTCGATAGCAACGATTATTTTATAGATTGAAACTGAAACTGATTTTTTACTGGCAGCACTACCTACCTTTAATTACAATTCTATAATAAATTCCAAATACGCCATTCTTCCAAAAGCAAAATAACAAAATGCAACACTTTTATCCTTTCTTTTCTGTTTACTTTTTTTCCTTCTTTTCATGTTACTTCCTTTCAACTTTTTCTTAATGATAGATTATAGAAGATTTAATTCTTTCTTTTCAGACACGAAGCACAGAGAGACAAAGAACTTGTCTTTTATTGATATTTGAACGATAGTAAAATAAGTGCTCTTAACAGCTGATCATCTCAAACAAACGTAACTAAACGATTGCTACAGAACGACAACTAACCTTTCTCTTTCTATCAGCGCATGTAAACCAACAGATACTACGAATAGCCTGCAGTAGCTTTCCTTCACAGAATAAAATTGGCAGCTGCATTCTATATTCTATTGCTTTTGACATGTCTATTTTCTGATCCAGCAAAATCAATGAAAGGCTTGCGACCATTGATTTCACACTTTTTTGAAAAATTTTAACGCGGTGTGCGCCTACTTTTCGTTTTAGCGAAAAACGTACTTTAACTGTCTTTCATTGATGCGCATATTTGCCTGTATGGAGTGGTCCATAAACACTAGCTAAATGAGTTCCCAAATCATCCAGAAATGTTCCAGTGAGAACACTGTTTGAGGTGAAAGCGTACCCTCAAGCGATCGAAATTGCAAGTACGTAGCTCGATATTATCAAATAAAATAGATAATTAGGAGATTCTGAAGCATTGGTGGTATCTAACATTAAGAATAATACAATTTTTGAAAACCTACGTATCAAAGAAATGTCCGCAGAGAATCACAAAAAAGCGTGAGAAAATTAGAAAAAAATTACTTCAGCTAATTTGATGTGAATACTAATAGATTTGGCCATGATGGTCATCACATGTGACTTAGCGATATTTAAATTTATTCTTATTTCATTTCTATCATTCATACGCAACAACATTGTGTTAGTCCGAAATTAGGTAAAGAGCATTGTTGGATACTCTGATCAAATGTGAAACGGCACATAATATTATCCTTCAAATTTTAAAATTTAAGTCGAACGCGGCTCCACTGAAACATTACTAGAATCTGCCCGCGATTAGTGGTGTATCTTTGAATTAATGCATTTCAAAGTGCTATTTAGATTGTTATTTATTTGTTTCATAAATTTCTTTAACGTTAAAAAAGGATTCACTGCATCATCTAAGATTTGAAAATTGTTTTATTGATGATTAATTAATCGAACTATGATCCAAAAAACGAAATAAATACCAATTAATTCTTATTCACTACGTCTATCTTTTCAGTTGAAACTACTTGATTAATCTTCTGAACTACCACCGACTGGACTCGCATTTCCATCTCACGCATGTGCATCTTGCTCGTGCATTTCTTTAACTTCTATGTGATCATAATTAGTATCGGATTCTGCTTTGAATAGAAAATCAAAAGTGTCTAAAAAATGCCAATGATCATTGCCCATATCATCATTTCCAAACTGTCGAATAACCCATGGATCGAAACAAAGTTTTGGATTGGTTATATAATCATACGGAATGTAACAATAACCTTTATCGCCCTAAAATAGAAATAAATGAAGAAAATCGATAAGAAAAAAGAACAAGTTCGAACTTACCCAATTTTCTCCCCATGAATTTCGAACAATAAATGCTTTTGATTGGTCACTATAGCCAACAGCTAACAATGCATGTCTATGTTGAAAATTCAATCGATCATCATTTTGATATCGCCTAGAAATTTTCATCAGACCTGCCATGTTCAGCGCGACTTTGTTCTTCTTGATTTGGCATTGGTACAATACCAGTTTTCGCTGCTTGATCAAATGAAACATAAAGCCGTAAACCGAATGCAAACGGGAAACCTTGTGCAAGACATGATTTCATTTCATTTAAATCAATTTTAACATGAAGTGCCTGACGTATTTTATGCTTAAGTCCTTGGTGAAAAGCGCGGACATTAGGAATGCTATTAACACTCGCTATAGCATAGGGCCACGTCAATTCGAGACATGTACCAAATTCTGCTAATGCTTCAATAGCATTTGTCATTGAACAACCTGAGTCAGTTACAACAGGTAAATGTGTATTTTTAACACGTCCATTATAATAAATAAATAAACGGCTCACATCAATATTAGTACCATGGTTTTTCTTAATTAAATATTCGTACGCTCCTATGAAAACAAAAATAGATAAAAAAAAACTTATAGCTTTTACCCGCAAGTGCATTTGCTGTACTAGATAAATGAAAAACAAAAATGAAATAACAAAATAGTTTTTTCAAAAAAATGTTTACTACTTACCAACTACCAATTCTTGATTGGTCTTCGACAGTTGACATAAAAGGTCGAAGATCAACTTTAGGTGGGAGTTGATCTTGAGTCAATAGAACATGATCGGAAAATGCCATTTTTAATTCTTCTTTATGTGGCATTCGATGTGACTCCTTGATCCCATTGAGTCGACATATTTTATCAGTAAATCGATTAATAAGATAAGTGTGAATTGGCATCGTTAGTTTCTAAATGATAAGAATATGAAAATCACTGTTTTTTGTTTTGGTTATGTAAATAAATTCAGTACGCGTAGTTAACTGCACACATTACAACTACAGTAATTTGCATTGAAGCAATACGTTCGTTTTCTCTTATATTACCTTTTTTTCTCTTTTCACGCATCATTGTTTTTTTGGTGTAGTAACTATCAATAGACAAATTTATTATTCTTCTGTTCTCATTGTAACGTTTAGAGCAGTAGAGAAAAAAAATCAAGCAATCATAGAAAATTAAAAAAATGAAGCATATCATTTTTTGCATGACTATTTCATCTACGAAAAAGAACACATTAATAAGCCACTCGTATATCTGGTAGAACAGAATATATTTTTTTAGTATTGTTGAATTTTTTCGTTGATTTAAATAATATTTTTCAATCAAAAATATTTCTGGAAATTTTACACAAGGAAACAATGACGCATTGTGATCCTCCTTGAGGAGTCCAATCAGGTGACGCTAACTTTTTAATTTGGCGACAGACTTAGTGTGTTTCTATGCTAGTAGATGAATCTCATAGTGAAATACAGAGGCAACGGGCTCCTTAGAATTGAAGAGACTCATGTGATTGAAAAACGCTTTACCGATCTCATCCTATTGTAGGTCTGTACAATTGCATTCTAAAATATTACCGTTTTTCTACATATATGACTAAACTTTTGTTGTTTTCAGTGTTTCATTTTTCTAAGATTTTGAAATGATAAACATTTAGTATTATTGTAAAAGTAAATTTCGGCAAAACAACACCAAATCAAGTCTGTGTTTTGGTTCACATTCTATATGTATATACCTGAAAATTTGAGGATCCGTATCGATGCGACCCTCCTATATTCTTTAGAGTATTATAGTTTTATTTTTGAAAAACTTCCAATATTCATATAAAACACATAATCAACTATGAAGTTTTTTTATTAGCTTTCGTTTTCAGATCATCTTTAATGAACATTTTTAGTGAATCGAATACAGTTCGCTGTGCTTCATACAAAGCTTCCAGGCTAATAACATATTGCACTTTACATTCATCGGATTCAATTTTTGTGACTTTGAAATAGGTTCGTGTGCTAACTAATACTTCTTTTTCATTTTCGAAAAACGATATACATGGAAGTTTGTATTCAGGAATTTCACTTAAATTAATTGCTGTACTACATGGTTGAGGAAAATGGTATATGAATAGAACTCTTTGTTTATCTGATGATAATGCAGATTTTTCGCAAAACTTCTCAGCAACTTCTCGAACAATCGACGTTGATGAAAATGGAAGCGATGATAAAATACTATTTTTCTTTTTCAATACCCAACGATATGTCTCCAACTCGCTCATAGTCAATCCAGCACCACGATAGGAATATCCTTCATAAAAGCGTTGTTTCAATTCGGACAGATGCAAAAAAAATGGAAAGCCCAGTGGACTTGAAGATATCAACAGTTGATGGTAAAATGGCGTTTCCATCGTGTAGAGTTTCAACAAATCTTCGATTTTCCCTTGTTCAACATATTGTTGAAGCAATTCACAACAACATCGATAAGAAGAATGTTGTGGAGTAACGTATTCATCCAATAGATTTTGTAAGGCGTCTTGTCGAAATTTCTCATTTGTAATTACAGCATACTCTTCTTCGTTATAACCGGTATCTTTGCCAAGTTTTAATTTCATTCCTTGTTTCATGATATACCGTCCGACTCGTGATTGAGAGAATTCTTTAACTCCACTAAGACCATCTAAATATCTTTGAACTTCTTCATGCGTCTCATAGCTGAGACAACAGCGTTGATCAGGTTTTTCAGCATGATCGCCATAGTCACTACCGTCTGTTTCAGCTGTATCCAATGGTACTAAAACTATTTGAAATGTTTTTTCCAGGTTCATCGAATCGTCATTAAATCGGTTTGCATCTGAAGGTCGATGGAACAGTTGTCTCATTTCATCTGTTTCTGCTTCTTCATATGCTGTGAAACCATGACGATTTCGTAAATGTCGTTGGCAACTATAGTCATGTAGAAGTAGATGAACAATGTCCAGATGACCAAAAAACGTTGCAGCATGAAGAGCAGTACTGCCATTAGGTTCTAATTGATTCAGTTGATGATACGGAATATTAGGCAACAATTGTTTGACTTTTTCAGTCTCTCCGTTCCTGCATGCAAAGTAAAATTCACTCGCTTCACCTACATGTACGTGTTCAAGTTTTTGTTGTTGATTGGTAGATAGTTTTTTGAATAATGATTTAACCCTCTGTTCCATTTTTCATGAAAATTGATGAATCTAATTTGAGATAGAAAGAGTAAATTAAACAAAAAATATTGTAATAATTTATTGAGTGCACAATGGAAAGATACACTAAAAACGGAAGTAAGAAAAGTTTATCGGGGTGGTAACAACGCTAAGACTTGCATGTAGTGGCTACAGAAGAAAGTACCATTTCGCGCGATAATAACTCTTACAATTCTGTGTTTAAAAGATACAGATCATAATGATTCCTCGCCTATACTATTTGGCAGTCAAGGAGAAAACGATGCGATATGAATACGTACACAATATACAACATAGATATAATGCAATAAATATTTGCAATTCGGGTGTCAAAAGCATGAAAAAATATACGCATGCGCATTCGTGCGTTTCTTTAGTCTGTCATTTAGCTACCTATAAACATTAATACAATAGGCCTGTACAGTGACTAGATCAGAGATGAATAAATAAAACAAAAATGAATGAATATGTATAAAAAATGCGGAACAAAAAAAAACGTCAAAGAAATGGCAAAAACTGACGTGATCGAGTGCGTTGATGTTTAACTAATCGAGGAACGAATCACATCCATTTTGATTCTACTCTCAGCTTTGATAAACATAACGCAGTCTAAAGTACAATGAATCTCAGTTACTCAAAAACACGGCCTTGAACTTGAAAATAAATAGATATCAAAGCTCTTTTTACAAGCACAGGAACATCGAGAAATGAGTCTTGTTCCGGTGTGAATATATTCAAATTAAAGTTCATTAACGCGAGCTATATCAGATAAAGCAGTTAACCTGAAAGGAAATATTTGCAAATAAATCAATAGAAAATTCTCGTTAGAATCTCATTTTTATCATTCACTGAAATAATTACATCGCCAAGTGTTTTATCATTTGAAATGAATCGCTTCATGCGGTCTTTAATATTTTATATGGCTTAGGATATTCATATAAATCTTTTAATTATTGGCTGTGTCCACAAAGTTGCATTATTAAATTTAATGAATTCTTTTTCGGAGAAATCTGTACAATCAAATTGTTGGCAAGCTTGTTCGATTCCTTGTTAAAAAAGAACCATATTTCTCTTACACTAACTATCATGTGGGTGTGTGATATAGTGCCAGCGAAAACAAGACCCACATCTTGACCTTTCTATTTAGCAATGGCTATCCCATTGGTTAGTTCACTTCGAAATGAGTTTAGTCTGTTTTTTTATCTACATGACGGCAATGAGAAAATTCAAACGTATACATATCTTGATGGACAATTTAAGTAGCAATCATCTCAATGTACTCGATTTCTCCGATGAAACTGTATTCATTATTTTTCCAAAATGCAATATGAGTAATGGCCTTGCTTCCAAGAATTTGTTCGAATATTTTACCTCGAATTCATGATCAAGAACATACAACGGAAGAAATTCTTCGTACTGCTAATTTTCCTCAACTTTATTCATTATCGCTCCTAAATTTTCAAGAAGAGAATCTTTATCAATATTTAACAAGTAAAGAATTTCACTTTGTCTTTACGATTGAAAAAACTAACATAGTTAAATAATTGTCTTGTGCTTTCATTATCAGCATTAATTATTGTTGTTAAACAAAGTTTTCTTACATGTCCAGCTATTGACCCAACAGTAAGAATCTAATTTCAACGATCGTATTCAAAAGAAAACAACACTAAATCAAATAAATTCTTAAATGTTGACTTAACCAACAATTTTACATACAGCACAATCATTTATGATAGAATGAATTAATTTTTCGAATAGTTAAAAGTGCAAATACGAAACAGAAATAAAAGGATAAACTAACTTAAGCAGTAACTATCATTGAATTTCGATGATCACGAAGAACCGACCAGTCGCAATCGTTACGATATCTCAACAGGCCTAACTGGAGATCAGTTTACAGTACGGTAGTATTGCGCCTAGGGATCTGCAAAATCGTTTTTTTCCAGCTTCGGTCTTTACAAATCAATATTTTTTTTGTAAAATTGTCATACTTTTACGAATACATACAAGACTGACATACATGATTTCGACTCGTTAACACTAAGAGCATTGTTTTATATGTATGCATTACTTCGAGAATCAATTTAATACATCAAAATGCAAATAAAAAAAAGAGACTGCAACTGATATTTTTAGAAGAAGTCCAGGAATCACTTTTCTTGAGATTGAGTCTAAGTCTGTATATTTATTTCGCATATCCGACAAGTAAAATCTAAACAGTTCGAAAATGTTGATTCTCGGAAACACGCTCGTAAGCATTAAAGACTGTTATCAGATCAAAATAATTCATATGAAAATATACTCGATAATTTTCTTTTCCATAAACACTAACCGAGGCTATTTTGAAAATCTCTACGTAGGTGTCGATTTGGATTCAGCAACGTTTTTCGTTCACACGCATTCTCGAAAAATCAAATCTCAATATTCAAATAAATAGAAGAATAATGTTGACAGTGTATATGAATAAGGACATAAGATATTCAAAAAAAATGATTTTCAGAAAAATATTCTTCAATGGAAGAAACGCTTAGGAATTTGTTAAAATATTAATTTCAGCTGGAGTCAATTCTCGACTATGTACATATACTTCATTGATTAAACCTTTATTGTCAGCATTTGGAATACCATAAGATGTGCACCAGCGACTAGATCCTATTTGTAAATATATTATTGAACCGGACGCTTCAAATGTAAAACGATCAGTACTATCAAAATATAATCGAGGTCCATTTATCATACGATAAGTAATTGAAATATGTGCCCATGTATTTAAAATAACTTCCGAACCTAATATCGATGTGTTATTCGTACCTTCAATAATAATTTGTGATTTAGAATTTTCAGTGGGTAAAAATCCACTTAAATTTCGACAATATCTACTTCTTAAAGTTGGTGACATTTGAACAATAGCACAAGGAATCTATTCTGTTAGATTTATCTAAAGAGAAACAGAAAATGGTTTACTTTGAATAACTCCATAACCAAGTTATAAAAACCATATGCTTGAAAATAAGATGATTGACCGGTAAAATTTCTTGCTTTTTAAACACGTACATCAACTAATCCTGTAGTAGATGGGTTTGGTGGAAAAGGCAGAAAGGGAAAATGCAGCAGGGGAAATACAGAAATTATAAACGTCGAATGAAAGAAAATAGAAAAAGGAAAACGTCGAAAAGTAAAATGTTGAAAATTCAACTTTTTAATAATCTTAAAGATAAACAGAATTTTATTGGATCACATGATAAAAGCCAATGAAAAAAGGGAAAAACTAAGTTAATAAGCATTATTTCCTTTTTTCAGTGTGATCCAAGTAGTAATGCTTATCTCTTCAATAGTTGTTTTTGCGTTGATCTCATCGTTCTTGGACCGTGTTTTAAGCGTTTCAAATCTTTTGTGAAAAACTGCTGTGCACTTTGACTCTTTTGAAGATGAAGCACCACCAGCTAGTTAAGCTACTTTGACACAGCCACAACCACATCTACACCCACACCCACCCTATTACTATATCGAATACAATTTAAAACAAAGTAAAGTACTCTTGTTTTAAATTATTATATTCATTGATCCATGTACTAATGTAGAAGAAGATTGGAGATAAAGAAAAGACACCGAAGATTATAAACCAATAGAACTATCAAATCATAAAGAACATAAAGAAATTCCCTTGTATTTTAGTTGAATTAGTAGAGTGTCTATCCTTTTTCTCCCAAAAATGCAGAGAATGAGAAGATTATTGAATATAATAAAGATTCCTATATTCAAATAGTTGTGCACGGATTTTTCTGAGGTTTGCTGAAAAAAGGATAATATATTTCAGCTAATAAAAACAAATATACGAATTCAATGTCTCACAGTAACATCGATGATTTCAATTCTGATTATTCTTTATTCTACAATAAAAACATTTTCATAGCAATAGATGAAAAAAAGCTAAAATATTACCTGTAGTAACATTTTTGTACATTCAATTTAATCATCGAACGTCTGATATAGATACTATCGCCATGAAGTAGTTATTCAATTCCTTAAAACAGATTCTTTAACAGCTTTATCGCAAAAATCAGTTGATTTTTAGATGTCTTACCCATGCAGTTGATTGTTACAAAAATGGAGATTACAATGTAACATTTTACTGTAGAAATAGGATGGGTGTAATTACCGGAAAATGCAATCTATTTTTACTGATCATCGTTTATTGACAGTGTCACGCATCATCATGTAATTATGTTCATTACTTTTTTAATGCATGATAATGCATTCAAAACATTAGATATTAAAACCCTCGACACATTATAAGACTCTTCGTTGACAGTTTCTTGTTTTCAATTTTAGATGATGTAGCATTTGTTTTTAGCCTTAGCTTATCATCAGTATGAACAATATTTTGCTTTTGGCTGACTTATTGGTGTCAGCTACGAGTAGGATAATTTATGAGAAAATAATGATAGGAAGGAATGTTTAAATAAATAAAAGTTTTTTAATTGAAAGACATGTTATGGAAGCACTTCAATGTTTCTATGCATGTAATCACATCAGGAATGAAAAAATGATGTCTTCACCAGTTATTTTAACAATGTTGTATGGATAGAGAGTACAGTCAGGAGTTTATTTATACTTTCTCAACTGAAAGAATAACCATAATAATCATATGACGTGATCAATGTGTTACACGTCTAAGTGCATCATATATGAAGAGATAGGGTGTAAGTGTGCTTGTCACTGAATAGAAAGCATACATACACGCCCACACTGCAATATTTTTCATAGATTTGTTCAGAAATGTCGGTGTGGACACGGGATCGATCTCTCGCTGAAACCTTTCACTTAATTAAAGATTTTGTCTTGATTGATACCAGTAATTGTGTGGTTTCTCTTTGATCTTCCCAATTCATTTCTATTTGGTTTTACAATTTGAAAGATGATCAAGCATTTATAGTTGTTCATTTTAAATAGTTAAACTATTTGAAAGACAACCCTTTCATGTTCTCTGATTATTATTATAACTATAATTTGAAGGTGTGTGCGTGACTGTGGCTATTATAAGAGTCCTCGCACATCAACGCACACCCACACACTGAAGGTTCGCTATAGAGACATAATATTACAAATTTGTTAGTTTGGTGGTGAGAGTTTTCATTTGAGTCGAATATGTTAATCTTCTGAATTACTAGTACGCGGCCTTCCATTAATAGAGCGTCTTAGAAAAATGAAGAAATATTTTGAGAACGAATAGTTTAAATTTGTACGTATATTAAGATGGTCCCTCTTCTGCGCATGCCCTAGAAATCGTTATTTACTTCTAGATTATTTGTAACACTTCATAATTTTAAATGCATCTACAGTGATCATTGAACATTTTTATTAACAATTACAATCCAAAGTTAGAATTGAGAACAAAAATGATAGTTTTATTATAGTACATCTGGTATAGATGTCAATGTCAGTAGCTATAAGAATTATAGTTTGAAAACAAAGCAGGGCCACCTCCAATGCGCCCATCATGGTTGAGGTCGATATTTGTCGCCTTTTCCAGTTCATTAATCATACCTTGGTTGCCTGATTGGAAATTTGGTGGACCGCCATATGCATTATAAGCTGGAGGGTAATTTGGAAAAGGAGCAGGTCCTCTGCCAATACGCCCGTCGTTATTTAGATCGATATGTGTAGCTTCTTCAACTTTACCAATCAAGCTCCCACCACTACCATAACCTTGTCAAAATGAAACAAGATAATAACATGATATATTTCCAATAGTGCAACTACTTCATACCAGAACCTATTATGCCATCTCCATTTAAATCCACACCCAATTTTTTTTCAAGTTGTTTGGTAATGAAATCTAGGTAAAGAAACATACATCTTCAAACTATTCAGCAATCGTACAATATTAGGAGAATTGCTGAAGCTCTCTCTTTGATTGTTTCCGTTTTTGTAGCAAAAAATCATCTGATTAAACTGTTCAATAGTAGTTTTTTTCTTTTCAAGTACACGTGGTAAATCTTATGCCACATCATCAACTAGGTTTATCATTGTTATATAAAAATATGATCATGATAAATGTAGTATTCCGATAGATTGGTCCAAAAAAGGATTATACTACTTCGGAGGAAAAATTCTAGATATGCATCGAACTAGTGACATATGGTCAATACGTACTCATCTCATTGATTGTTGCAATTGGTAGAATACGAACTAAAAAGAATAGAAATTATGAAAGTGACTTGTACTAAGATATTCGTACGTGTGTGTCTTGTTGCAACGACGAAATAAATATCATATGCTTTACGTCTTGGTTCACATTATCGTTCTTTTTCTTTTCTTTTTTTTTTGCTATTTTTATCAAGTAAACAACATCGAACGAGATAAATATCATGATGAGGCCTGCATTACACATTTCTATATCAGCGTATTCTTTTTCTAAACTTCAGTCAAGCAAGACCATTTGCTCACTTTCTTCTCTTTCATACATAACGTCAATATATTTTATTAAGAAGATGAGGCGTCAAATATAACTATGCATATACGATACAGAAATTGACTGTGTCCTATGGAAAGGTATTTGAAACAAATGTTTTTTATTTTTCTGATCAGTTAACAATTGGCATTTGTTAATAACAGAAGAAGATACCGTTTTCCGTAGTTAGAAAAAAAATTTGCATATGAGATAATGCTGAACTCTCAATAATATAAATATGAGTATCTCATATCTTCAATGAAAGGAAATATGGAGTTTCAATCTATTCAACAATGCGATAAACTATGAGGAAAAAAAATCACAGTAAAACCTCCCAATTGTGAAAACAATCAGGACTATTCGAAAACTCTCACTGTAGTGAAATGTTCACTTTAGGGAATAGGTGCATGATTCACTGTAAAAGTAGGAAAAGATTTCAAGATATCTACTTATACACTATTACTAGATAAAGAGCAGTACTAGGGGTGTCAATTTACAGTTTATTTAATTTAAATTTAACTTCATGAAAAGTTAATTTAATTTTAAATTAAATTCTATCAAGTTAAATTTAAAATAAATTTAAATTTTTCTGATACAAAAA